GGGACACACTCGACTGACTTGAAGGACTCGACCACGAAGACTCACTCGACCACCAGAAGGTCAAGAGACACTCTGCACTGCAACGGCCTGTAATCAAGTAGACTTTATGATAGTAAAGGCACTTTATGTGGGGCGTTACCAGTAACGCCCCAGACTTAACTCACCTTAAACCCTCTCCTACGTGGGCTGGCTGGGGTCCTGGCGCACTCTATATAAGCCACCCCCCTCCACAGGAAGAAGGGTTCGGCACCTTGTAACTCATATACTCATAATCCACTCGACCGCCTCCGGGCTCCGAGACGTAGGGCTATTACTTCCTCCGAGAAGGGCCTGAACTCGTACATCCTTTGTGTTTACAACCTCTCCATAGCTAGGACCTTGCCTCTCCATACCTACCCCCACTCTACTGTCAGGCTTAGAACCACGACACTCGGCGCTGGGTGGTCCGTAGCAGGCCCTGCCCGCCTGTCCGACTGGTGGCGCGCGTCACATCGGCGCTCGATGGTAGTTCGAGCGCCCTCATGAACCCGCTCCCGAAGGACTTGACGCTGATCGCGGTTGGTTCGCGGGTCGGACGACGCGATGGAGATATCGTCTCGAGCATCGTCGCGACGTGCCAATGCTCGGGGTGGCCGGGATGGAGGAGGGGATTGCACCTTGGCTGCATCGCCTCCAGCACAATCTCCGCTGGCACGCGGTGGCCCGGTAGAGCGACGGCCTATGGGTCCTGCCGGCCGCAACTCATCGTTGTTGGTGATGCCGACGAGGCTCCGGACGGTGGCCCTCCATTCGTCGAGCTTCTCCGCGGCGGGAGGAAAACGAGGAGCAGCTGCGCGCGCTAGGGGTTCCGCTGGCGTGGGTGGCGGCAAGAGCTGGGTGGACCGCGATGCACCTCGACTTCTAACCACGTTAGAAGGAGCTGCGCCACGGCCCCGCAGCCGTTCGCCACCTCCGTCAGCACCTCGACGTGCATGCTGGCCCTCCTCATCATGTGATGGGCGCATGGGACTCTTCCCAGGGCAGCGCGCAGGGTCACCAGCAGGGTGACACTCCCATCACGCACAACCTGGGAAGAGCGCGCTGTGGGCGCCGGTGTTGGTGTCTTGGAGGTCGTCGTGCCGCCGTCTAGCGGGATGGCGGCGCCCCTGGAGGGGCCCGCGCCGCCTGCGGGGGGCCCGACTCCGTCTCTGGAGCCTGCGACTGGTGGCTCGTCGCCTGGCGCACGAACAACGCCACTCGCCAGGCCTGAACCGCCAGGGGGATGTGGATGTTCGCGGGCCACGCCACGGGTTCTCTCCGCGACTGGCCCGCTACTAGTCCGCACCGGTGCTGGCAACCTGGTCCCGGATGAACCGATCCCCGTGGTCGCCTTCTTCTTAGGAGCCATGGTGATGAAGAACGGCTAGGTCAACTGCCAGACCAGATTCTCACAATTGTGCCCCTACCTGGCACGCCAAAGATGTCGGTGGGAAACGACACCTATGGGATCATTGGAATCCCTTCTACGTTGCAGGGCGCGGGGATCGTGAGAAGAGCAGGACTAGTAGACAACACAAAAGGTATTTACCCAGGTTCGGGCCGTAAAGATGCGTAAAACCCTACGATCCTGCTTTGGTGGATGTATTTAGTGTTCGTGAGCTCTCGAACTAGCTCTAGGTGCTGTGAGGTTCGAAAGAGTCGAATCCTTTCCTAGTGTGCCATGGGCCTCCTTTTGTAGGCGAAAAGGGGCTGCCACAGTGGCACACAGGAGGTGGAAAGTGCTACAGCGTTTGTGACCTTATCGCTAGTATTACAGGAAAAAGCGCATTTAATGCGGAGCTTAGGTGTCCCTCCACTTTATCGGGGGCGGGAGCGAGGCCCGTCCCGTCCGTCGCCGCTCCTCCTGGTTTCGACACACGCCCTGGCCAACGGTGTATGCGGTGCCATTTAGGCAGGCAGGCAGCTGAGGTGGCGCGGTGGTGGAGCCTTCACGAAGGGTTGCATGTTGCCACGTAGGTGCCTGCCCAGCTGGTTGGGTCGGCAGCTGCGTGCGAGCGGCAACGGAGACTTGGCTGGCGCGGGCCTGGCAGTGGCTCTGCTGGTGCGCTTGGCAAGGGTCTTGTCGGGTGGCCCGGCAACGGTCTTGCCGGGTAGCCTAGCAAGGGTCTTGCCGTAGCGCACTGGCATCCCCGACAAGGATCTTGCTGGGGGTCTTATGGGTTTATTCGGTGAGGATGGTTGTCTTCCTATCCTCATTTGATCTTGTTCATCTTATGTCTTCACAAAGATCTGCATGACACCACGGAGGTGCCTCCCGAGCCCTGCCTCAACGCATTTTTCTGGCGTTTGGTGGGCTCAAGGGTGGCTCACTCAGATGGTGTGGGCGAGCTGCCCCGGCAAGGGTCTTGCCGGGGCTGCTGAGATCGCCCCGGCAAGGGTCCTTGCCGGGGAAACCTGCTTCGCCCATTCGATCTTTGTGGCCTTGGTCCTTGTCGTTGCCTTGTTGGTCTTGTGCCTTCGGCTTCTCTCCGACTTCCCTTTCCTACCCTGTTATGTGTGGCCGTGGCGGGAGGCTCTGACTGCCCGCGCACAAGTAAAGGGGTCAAAAGCAGAGCCCCTACTTTTTGTACACCGGCAGTATGAGACCCACATGAATTGCCATGGTGGTAACCCAACCTATGTGACCGGAGATCCCGTGAAGTAGGACTTGGGAAAATCAGCCAGTGGTGAACTGAGGAGAGTAACTATACTAATCCACTCCGTTGGAGATGCAATACTCTCGATACTGTATGGTAGGATGACTATTGTCTTAATGTGCTCCAAAGCTTATGTAAGTATGATGCTATCCTACAGAGCGATCTTTGGAGAAACACACCTACATGAGCCCGACTGCTGGTCACAGTCTATAAGATCGGGGTGATCTTTAGTAAGCTCATGAATAGGCCAGGAGTGTGACTTATATGCTCCACACGAGGGGCCAACCTTTGGCAGCCGAGTACTAGTAAGACATGTGGTGAAGCTTCTTTACGCCAAAGTGACAATTCAAGACATAGTCCATTGTTCAGTTGTGAAGGGGTGTAGCTACTTGCTCTAGGTGAAGTTCAACCTTAACAGGTCTTCACTGAAACACTGGTATATCAAAAAAGTAACTGGAATAGAGGACATAATGGTCCCTCAAGATCTGGCGGGGGATTGTTGAAATATTATGACGGGACTAGGGCCCATCTAACAATTTGTCAAAATCTCTAAGGGCCCATGTGGGTTTAATTGGCACTAGGTGTAGTGGGAAATTTAGTCTCACCCTGGAAGTTGGAGAGGAGTTGGACCTCCTTATAAGGGTTCCTCTTCCACATGCTATTCAAGCTTGAGAATAGAAGAGGCCCTCGCGCACTCCTCCTCTGCCGCCCGCCTCGCCACGCCACGCCTCGCCTCGTCACGACGCTCCGCGCCGTGGGTTGCGGGAATGAGACGAGCTGAGCTCACACTTATGTGCTTTTTTCTTGTCGGTCAATAACGGAGAGATTCTGATAGCTGAGCCGCGATCTAAGACGTCGGATCGTGGGTTGTCTCGTACTTGGACATGGGTCTAGCCCACGTCTCTCCACGCGGTCGCGCCTATATAAGCGTGAGGCGTCTCCTAACCCTAGCCGCCATGAACATATCACATCTGCTCCACGCGCACCTCCCACTATCCTTCCTTTGCTGTTGCCACCGCCGGTGACTCCATCCCCTCCGTCGCGTACACGGTCGACGGGATAGCAGGTCTCTGAAACCCCGCCTCTTCGAATCATGTACGGGAGAGGGGCGAATAGGTTTTTGGGAAGCGACTATGCGATTGCTCGCCTCCGTTCGTCTGCTTCCTCTACGTGCGCGTCTCCTTCATCATCACCATGTCTCAGTCCGACGCAGACCGTCTCGCCGCCGAGAAGCTCGAGGCCGACAAGAAGGCCGCCGAGGACGCCGCGGCTTTTGCCTGGCCTACTGGAGGATATAACACGTTTATCCCGCTCCTGTTTATTTTCGCTTTAGCAGTACTAGCATTATGTGTAGATGTGTCTACTGTTTGCATAGTATGTGCTTGTCTAGATCAAAATCAGTATGTCGTTAATTCTGTCAGTGTCATGCTAGTGATTTGTTTATGGATTAAATTAGTCAAAAAATTGCCTACTTATTCAACAGTTACCAACTTTCTTAAGATGCAACTTCTCAATAATCTTGTGGAGCATATTTGAATCCGTGCTAAAAATCAATGAGCTATGTATTTTATGTTACAATTAAGCACTGAATTTATTTGAGCTATATACTTTTATGTATGCATAATTTTTATTTGTGTGAGCAATTTATTGATTTTGTGTAATAATCGATGTGCATGTGTTTACATGGATTTGAGATTTAAAAAGAAAATGTAAGTCACGGTTATACCGCGGACATTTCCGGACTCCTCTGCAGACATATAGGGCCCGGCTTTGCTCGATCCTATGGTGGATGCTCTAAAGTAGAGTCGAGAGTCTTAAAATGTTCAAAGAGTCATGAAGCATTTTACGCGGTATTGTTTTCCAAAATCCAAACCGGAATTTGGCCCTCCCTGGTGCTGCTGCGCCACCGCCGAGTGGAGTGAGCTCACACGCACCAATCCCCCCTCCTCCCGTTCACCCCTTGTGACCTCTTCCATGGAACCTCGCGCGAACGGCGTCCCCTCCCTCTGCCGTGCACAGTTACGCGGTGGCCATCCAAAAGGCCAGGGCGGCAAAGCAAAAACATCAATGAAGGCGTAAGAAACAGAGGTTTTGTACTGCGCTCCCCTCCCTTCCCCTTCCCCTGCGCCATTGCCAGTTGCCATTTGCCACCCTCGCTCGATTAAATCTCCCTCCAGTCCCCCACGCTCTTCCCATTGCCACCGCCGCTCCGCTTCAAGAAGAGCAGGTCACTCACCTCCCCCAAAGCCAGCAACTGAGCCGCCGCACGCAAACAAAGGGAGGCTGCCGGAGTGGAGAGGCGCGTCGCCCCAACCAAGGCTGGCCATGGCGCCGCCCCTTGTCGCCGGCGGCGGCCTGCTGCTCGCTGCCTTCCTGGCATTCTCCCTCGCGGCCTCCTCGGCCAATGCCGCCGTCTCCTACGACCACCGCTCCCTCGTCATCAACGGCCGGCGGCGCATCCTCATCTCCGGCTCCATCCACTACCCGAGAAGCACACCAGAGGTACGCCGCCCGTAAGCACACCCCCGCCCCCGCACCCGCCCGTGGCCGGCGGGCCGCCTATCGCTTCCCGCGCCCAAATGCAGCCTCCCAGTACCGACTTAGCTCTGATTTTTCTTCGTGTCGTTTGCCCCGTGACCCGCGCGCGCTCTGCAGATGTGGCCGGGGCTCATCCAGAAGGCCAAGGACGGCGGCCTCGACGTCATCCAGACCTACGTCTTCTGGAACGGCCACGAGCCGGTGAAGGGCCAGGTATTATCGCACTCGCCTCGCTCGCGTTTGCTGCATTTCTTGCTGCCGCCGTTGCGAGTTCATGGCTGACGGGTTCTTGGATGAACTGCGCAGTACTACTTCAGCGACCGGTACGACCTGGTCCGGTTCGTGAAGCTGGCGAAGCAGGCCGGCCTCTACGTCCACCTCCGCATCGGCCCCTACGTCTGCGCCGAGTGGAACTTTGGGTACTAAACTAAACACATAAACTTTTTCTTTTGATAAAAGACCCACACATAATCTAATCCTCCTACAATTTTTGGCAGCTTTTAGTTGTATATATGCTCCTATATGCTAACGAATTCTTGTTTGTTGTGTTTGTTGCAGTGGCTTTCCTGTTTGGCTCAAGTATGTGCCCGGCATCAGCTTCAGGACAGACAATGGCCCGTTCAAGGTGGCGTCTCACTCTCACCAGACGAAAACCTTTTGATCCCATCCATCATTCACAAAATCTTGTCTAGTTTCATCTGAGAACATGAACAATTTGTGTCTAATTTGTTTCAGTACAAATTGTGCCTAATTTGGTGATGTTTTGGGTCATTGTAGGCAGAGATGCAGAGGTTCGTTGAGAAGATCGTGTCGATGATGAAATCCGAGAGGCTGTTCGAATGGCAAGGCGGTCCGATCATCATGACTCAGGTGAGGAAGCAAGCCGGGGACTCTCGATCAGTGGCATTGCCATTTGCAGTGCAGATAAAACGTGGACTAGTGATTGAGAGTCTCTCTGGCCAATTGTGCAGGTGGAGAACGAGTTTGGGCCGATGGAGTCCGTCGGGGGCAGCGGCGCCAAGCCGTATGCGAACTGGGCCGCCAAGATGGCCGTCGCGACCAACACCGGCGTGCCGTGGGTGATGTGCAAGCAAGAAGACGCCCAGACACCGTGGTACACATATAGTAGTAGTACTTGTGGAGTAGTAGTAGCTTTGTTGCTGGTGTGGCTGGTGTTGAATAAATGTGATAATTATATGCTGACCACTTTTCCAACTAATTCTCACCTTTCTGGATCGTGGCAGATTAACACTTGCAACGGCTTTTACTGTGATTACTTCACCCCAAACAAGAAGAACAAGCCGACCATGTGGACTGAGGCCTGGACCGGGTGGTAGGTTTCCTCGATCATACTTGTTCATACCAATCCAAATGCAATATTCATATTCCAAACACTGAGAGCGATCAAAAATATTCATAATTTTATTCTCCTAAGGTTTACGTCGTTCGGAGGGGCGGTCCCTCACCGGCCGGTGGAGGACATGGCCTTTGCGGTGGCCAGGTTCATACAGAAGGGTGGCTCCTTCGTCAACTACTACATGGTGAGTAGAGTAGGGGATCACGGTCACGCCTGCCATGGCATTGCAGTGAAAGCTTCTACTTGCTCTGACCACGTTTACATGTTACGGTGCAGTACCATGGAGGAACCAACTTTGGACGTACCGCAGGCGGTCCCTTCATCGCAACCAGCTACGATTACGACGCCCCGATCGACGAATATGGTATGCCGTGACTGCTGTATTTGACAAACAGGAATTCCTACTGGCCTTTTGGAGCTTCACCATGTTCCTTTTTTATCATCTTGATTGGCATAGCTTGTGGGAACACCTAACAAATTTTCACATGTATATCTCAGGTTTGCTTAGGCAGCCGAAATGGGGTCACTTGAGGGACCTGCACAAGGCCATCAAGCAGGCTGAGCCTGTGCTGGTCTCTGGTGATCCGACTGTCCAGTCGCTAGGGAACTACAAGAAGGTTCAAATCTCTATGAACATGAACAATCTGGCAACGGTCTCCAAATGCAAAAGTTACTAATCATATCCAATGACTACTATTCTTCTTCAGGCATACGTCTTCAAGTCGAAGAATGGAGCTTGCGCCGCCGCGTTCCTGTCAAACTACCACATGAATGCTGCAGTGAAAGTCAGGTTCAATGGGAGGCACTATGATCTCCCTGCTTGGTCCATCAGCATTCTTCCAGACTGCAAAACGGCGGTTTTCAACACCGCGACGGTGAGTGGAACCCTGAATCGCAAACCTCTCTGTGAACTAGGCAAGAGGAGCATATCGTCTAACAAGCAATTGTTGTAACCGTGCAGGTGAAGGAACCAACACTGCTGCCAAAAATGCATCTGGTGGTGCGGTTCGCTTGGCAGTCGTATAGCGAGGACACAAACTCACTCGACGGCAGCGCCTTCACGAAGAATGGCCTGGTTGAGCAGCTAAGCATGACATGGGACAAGTCAGACTACCTGTGGTACACCACATAGTGAGTGACTGACCGACCTTGATAGTCGATATGGGCGGTTTCGACCAATCATATCTGAACACTTGGAACTTTCCTTAAACTCTGGTTTGGTCTTGTCGCAGCGTCAACATTGGTGCCAATGAGCTCTCGAAGAACGGCCAGTGGCCTCAGCTCACCATCTACTCCGCTGGGCACTCGATGCAGGTCTTCGTCAACGGAAAATCATACGGTACTAGTAGCACTTTCCTAGAGCCACACTACACTGCAGTTGCAGATCGCATCAAGATCCAAAATGTTGATTACCTTGGATGATTGTGTTTGTGTTGCAGGTTCTGTTTACGGCGGTTACAACAACCCCAAGCTGACGTATGATGGGCATGTGAAGATGTGGCAAGGGAGCAACAAGATCTCCATCCTGAGTTCAGCAGTTGGCCTTCCTGTAAGCTTTCCACAGCTGAGTTTATTTATGCCCTTGGATTCAAAGCTGTTTGTGACACTGGTATATGGCATTGGTGCGCATGTAGAATGACGGGAACCATTTCGAGAGGTGGAACGTTGGCGTCCTCGGGCCGGTGACCGTCTCCGGGCTAAATTCGGGGAAGAGAGACCTCAGCCATCAGAAATGGACATACCAGGTACATTCGGGAGTCGCTAGGGTTTAGTACTTTCTCCTTGGCTTATGGCCTGTTCGGCCGCTCTCCGCGGAGCGGAACCGGCGGAGCGCCCTTTTAGCAGCTCTGCGTATTATACCTAGCAAGCCACTCCGCTCCGGCGCGGAGCCGCGGAACGGAGGGAGTCCGAACGCGGCCAATTTCGTGCGGAACTGTACTGACTTGCGATTCTGGCGGGCACGCAGGTCGGCCTGAAAGGTGAGTCGCTGGGGCTCCACACCGTCACCGGAAGCTCCTCCGTGGAGTGGGGCGGTCCCGGTAACAGGCAGCCACTGACCTGGCATAAGGTCAGTGCTCGCAGCAACAATAACGCACCTTTGCAACATCAGGAAACAGATTTTTTTTTTCTTTCTCTTCTCGGCATCTCCGATGGCAACTGTGATTGTGGTGATGGTCTGGTAGGCCTTGTTCACCGCGCCGGCGGGGAGCGACCCGGTGGCGCTGGACATGGGGAGCATGGGGAAAGGGCAGATGTGGGTGAATGGCCACCACGTCGGCCGGTACTGGTCGTACAAGGCCCCCTCCGGCGGCTGCGGCCGGTGCAGCTACGCCGGGACGTACCGCCAGGACAAGTGCCGCTCCAACTGCGGCCAACTCTCACAGAGATGGTACTGTACTAATCTCGGATAGCGATCACCCCGTTTGCACGACTTGGTAACCTTTTTCCCCTTATTACGACGTTGAGAAAATGAGAATAAAAGTGTTGTGTGCATGCAGGTACCACGTGCCGCGGTCGTGGCTGAAGCCGGGCGGCAACCTGCTGGTGGTGCTGGAGGAGTACGGCGGCGACCTCGCCGGCGTCGCCATGGCCACGAGAAGGACGACATGAGCTCAGAAAGATACTAGTACTACCGCCCTGCTGATTGGTTCGTTTCATTTCTTGATTGATGATACTACATACGTACTCCTACTCACGAGGGACGTGTCACGTGTGGATAACATATTGTTCACGAGGGAAACAAACAAATAGTGCCAAGCTAGTAGAGATTTTCCCCGCAAAAAAAAAGCTAGTAGAGATTTTAGTAGAGGGCCAGGCCAGGGAGAAGGGATGGTATTGACTGCGCAGAGGGGAAGAGGTGGTGGTTGGCTGGCTGGCTGGTTTCGTTTCAGCCATCAGTGCGGCTGCACCTGCAGGAAGGGGCACGTGCAGTGCAGTGCGGCTGCAATCAATCAGCCAGCTCAAGCTTTCTTCTTCACGTGACTCAGGGATACCCACCGGCCACCAGTAGAGTATAGTGCATGGGCTGATTCAATTGTTTGTTACTGCTCGTGACAACCTTTTTTAGGAAAAAGTCCATTTTAAACCCTGAACTCGTAGACGTTCGGCGAAATGAACCCCTAAATTGAAATCCCGGTCGATTGCACCCTGAACTATGCAATCTCGGTCTAAATCAAACCTTTGAGTCGTTTGGATGGCCGGGATTGCTGGGATTTTCGCTGAGGGCACACACATCCACCCAGCTGGGCCGGCCCGCTTTATTTTTTTTCCGTTAAGAACTAAAATTTCACAAAGGGCGCTACACCTTGCTTCTGCTGGGCCGGCCCACTTTTGTTTTTTGTTAAAATAAGCACACGGTGTACCATGAACATGCGACCCCGTGCTGGTGCTGTTTAAATTTTTTCAACGTATGTAAAAAATGTTCAAAGTATATTTTTAAAGAATTCAATGTATTTTAAAAATCACATTTGTTTCCAAGAATTGTTGAAAACTTTGAAGAAAAAAGAAATCTGTTGCAATACATTGTACTTTAAAATTGGCACTGCAATATAGACATAATGAGAAGGTAGCTAGTGTGGTTGCCGTCGCTGCTACTTATTCACTGTTTCAAATTTTGTTCACAATTTTAAATTGTTCAGTGTACATCAAAAAATGATCAACGGGTATTTAAATGGTTTTTCAGCACATATCACAAAATTGTTGCATAAAATTTGTTCAGATTATATTACAAAAATGCTCAATGTATAAAATTTGTTCATCGTATATCACAAAAATGTATAATATATTTAAATTATTTCAATGTATATCACAAAAATGTTCACTGTGTTGTTAAAAATTGGTCATCGTACGCCTAAAAAATGTTCAATGTATATTTGAAAATCGTTCGTCGGATATAAATTTTTGTTCATGATAATTGTTCACGTTTTAACAGTTTATTTGAGTTTTAAATTTCTTCGAGAAAACATTGTTCATTTATTTGAATGAAGATTAAAAAAAACAGATATGTCGCTGACCGTACTACTTTAAAATTACGCTGTACTATAATAGCAATCCGAATCGCTAGCTGCACCGGCTGGCGTTGCGGCTATCCAGCGAAAGGTCGTGTGTTCGAATCCAACCTGCGGCAGAAATTTTTAGTTCGTTACATCTTTTCCCCGTACGTTCGCTCGTTTCCTGGCAATGGGCCGGCCCATTTGCGCGAGCCCTACGTGGAAGCCCACAGGAGCTCCCGTCCGCAAGCAGCAAAGAGCGACAGAAAAATAAAGACAATTTTTTTTGAGCAAACAAAAAATATGGGCTGATCCAGCACGGAGGAGGTCCACCAGCTAGACAAATCCAGGTTGACATTTGTCAGGGTTTGATTTAAACCAGGATTGCATAGTTCAGGGTGCAATCGACCAGGATTTCGACTTGGGAATTCGTTTCGCCAAACCTCTACGAGTTCAGGGTTTAAAATGGACTTTTTCCCTTTTTGTACTACAGAACTTGCATTTGCGACATATGAGTTGCAGGTGCGGCCAGCATTTGTCGATGGACGTGTAGCCTGGTTTCCCCAAGGATAATAAAAAGTAAACATTTGTCCATGTCCATTTTGGAGTAATTTATGTTTCAGCTCAGGCTACGGACGAGCTGTCTCCTTATTTTCTAGCCTAGAGATGATGAATGCGTCCCGACGCAGAGATATGATGATGCAGCTGTGAGCCTGTGGCACCAGTCGTCTGCAGTGTCTCTCTACCCGATGCATGCATATCTGACACAGGCGGCATTTACTACTACTATTGGAAAAGTTGCCGCTGTGCGACGCACTGTTCCTCAGCGCGTCAAACTGAAGAGAGTCCCACAAAGCAAACCACGCAGCAGTGTAGAGCGAAATCTCGAATCCAAAGTGGCGCCAACACTGAGCGCGAATCGCATGCATATGGGCTACCGAAGCCTCACCAGTCACCAGGAAGCCTGGCCAAGGCTCATTTTCATCAGGTGGCCTTTCCCCTGGAATTTCCTATATCCAACGACTTTGTGGTCAATGTGAAAGACGACCACCAATACTAAATTTAGTACTTGAACCCCGTGGGTTGGTTCGACCACAAGGCAGTTCACCGCCGCTTTTCTTTTCCTTTCGCTTTTTCATTTCCTTTCCTTTTCCATTTTTTCTTTTGATTTCCCTTTTTCTTACTTCTACATATTTCTGTCTTAAATTCGTGATTCTTTTTTTAAGTACATGAATTTAATCTGAGAATATTTTTTTAACATATTGAACATTTTTTCAAATTGTAGAAAGTTTTGAAATTTATATTTATTAAAAAACTAGGAACTGTTTATAAACTACAACATATTTAAAATTTGTCATTTTTAAATTTCACTGATATTATGTAGGTTCAGCAATATTTCTTACATTCATGACTAATTTTATTTTTTTCGGTTTTTTCTTCCAAAGTTCACAACATTTCTATACACCTATATAATATGCCAATATTGAGTCATACGGGCCGTCGGATCTGTGTAATCAGACGACTCACATTCAATAGCTATAACTAAAGGACCACGTGGCCAAATATGCACCATTGGATAGGACAATCCGACAGACCACAGAGCTGGGATTCGCGGTGGGGGCATCACTACCCTGCCAGCCCGCCAACCACATGTGGTGATTCTATCCTTGACTAGAAAATTCTAGCATGCTCATGTCACATGAGTAATGTAGTACATGCAGCCTACGATCTCTACAATTACTAAGCTCCCATGAAATGAAGCCCTCTTATTGATCGTGGACTTTGGTCAAATGGTGAACCCCGTCAAAGCTGATTTTTTATCCAATGATTACTACGTGGCAATGTATTAGTACAAGCGAATGTAAAAACTGATTTTCTTAACTTGATTGTCCGCTTTTTTGTTTGGGTCGACCGCGTCGTCCAACAATGCCCGACGCATTTTTTCCGCATCCATTTAAAAAAACAATTAAAAAAACATGTGTTCGAATTAAACATAAGTAAACATTAAATGGCCAGTCAACCGCCAGCAAAAAACTACTTAAACACTAATCAAACATAAAAAAACTAAGTAAACGCGTCTCCCAACCACCTAGCACGTTGCCCTCGATGTCACCATCGTTGCCGTCGTCGCCGGTAAGGTCTACGAAGGTTGGCGACGGCTCAGCCCACGGGAATGCAGCCTCCCACACCACCCGCACCGATCCTATAGCCTATGCCCCATCGGGGACATTGTTGTGTGGCACGTGCTCCTCCTGCTCCTGCTCTGAGCGCTCTTCCTCCACCTGCCGTGCCCAGCAGGCACGACGCTCCTCCTTCTCGCGCTCGGCTTGCATCCGGCGCTCGCCGTCGACGCACTCCTCAAACAGGTGGAGCTCTCCCCAGTGCTCCAGGTAGGTCTCCTCTTGCTCCGATGTGGCGCCCAACGCGACAGGCGGCACGCTCACCCACTCGCAGAGGATGCCGGCCCACGTGTACATTTCTGACTCCGGCTCTGTGGGCGGCATGGGAGTGAGCGTGAGCGCCCGTGCGTCCTTCTCGTGAGGGCCTTGGGCTCGGGCAGCAGCGGAGCGTAAGCGCAGTCCCTCGGCACCGACATCGTGTGTCCTCGCGTTAGCTCCCCTCCAGGGCGCGCTGGAGCGCCACCTTCAATGTGGCCTGGTGGGCCTCCTCCTCCTCCACCTCCAACGCCATCTCCGGGGGCAGCGACACGAACACAAGCTTAAGCAGCATGCTGTCGCGGCGGGCCACTCGTGCTCCATGGTGAACCAGGCTTCCCGGTTGGGGCAGTCTTGCGCGTAGGCAGGGTCGCGCCGATGTTCTGGCGTCAGGAGGGAGCGGCACTTGCGCACCTCCTCCGCGTGCGCTTGCGCCGACCGCGCCACCGCCGGCATCGGGATGCGATGCGGGTCAAGGTGCTAGCCATGCGAGAGGTCAACATCTGGCCACGACAGCGGTTGGCGGTAATGCCAGTGCCAACGCGCTTGGTGCACCTTGATGTATAGCCGGTCCCGTGGCCGGCAACCACTAGCCACATGGGGATTCATTGTGTAGGCTGGCGGGGGCAACGGCGGTGGAGGCTGCATGCGGGACGAGCTGGCGCCGGCGTCGGATTTTCCCTTGCCCTTTCTCTTGCTGAAGATAACCTTGGCTAGCGCTTGCA